ACACAAATTGATCGAAATAATTAATTAATTAATCAATTAATTTAATTAGCGAGTTTATTTAATTAAAATCAAAATTTAATTAAATACCAAATTAGAGTTCAACTCTAATTCCAAAGTCACAAGCGAGATAATTTAATTAAAATCAAATTTTAATTAATCACCAAATTAGTGTCCAACTTTAATTCCAAGATTTAGCGCGAGCTTATTTAATTAAAATTAAATATTAAATTAGAGTTCAACTCTAATACTAAGATTATATGGTGTGTTTGATTTAATTAAAATTAAATTTTAATTAAATACTAAATTAGGGTCCAACTCTAATTACAAAATTATAGAGTGAAACTTATTTAATTAAAATCAAATTTTAATTAAATATCACATTAGAGTCCAAATCTAATTTAATTGAATTAACATTTTAATTTATGATAAAACTTCTAAACAAAATAAAATTTAATTTAGGGTCAGTTTTATATTTAAGTTAAAATCCAATTTATCGATAATTTAAAAAGCCATGAATTTTAAATAAAATTTTAATTTGGTCAAAATTAAAATTCTGGTCAAACCAATTCAAAATCAATTTTAAAACCCTTTTAAAAATTGCATTCAAGACCCCTTTTTGAAAATTTTGCAATCTCACCCAATTGAAAATTATAAAGAGGTCCCTTTCAATTTCTAAAATGGCATAGCAGCCCTTCATTTCAAAATTACACATTGACCCCGAATTGAAATTGCACGCAAGGGCTCAAAATTTCTCAAATTTCAACACAAGCCCCGTCCTCAAAACTCAATTCAAAAAACCTTAATTCCTTTCAAATTTTCTGGCGGGGCCAATAATACAATAAACGACAGCACACTACTCACCACAGTAGCGGCGTTGCGTGCTGCTATTGCAGTTCCGTTGCATGTTACTGTAAAGAAGAGTCGGCGCTGTCGTGTAAACGTTACTATGGATGTGCAGCAACCGTGTTGTCTCCATGATGCGGTCGCGGCTGTGCGTGCTGCCTGTGCCGGTAGCGGCCACTCTTCTGATTTTTCACCAAAAAATCATTTTTCTTTCAAAAACTTATTTTTAAAGATGAAAATAATATTTCTAAATTATTAGATACAAGAAAAATAATAACACTCAGCTTTTGATTGTTCTAACATATTAATTAATTGTCTATTGTTCTTCTAGTTCTCCTTTGCATGTGACTCATTAGGTCCTCGATCGCGATACCTATGACATGAATTATTATTTTTATCTAATCAAAATAAGATAAACTAAACCACCATTTTTATTAATTAATTCACATTCGCCGTCTCAAATTGACATCTAAGAGTGACGAATCATCTATTGATCATTCACAACCTACATATAATTCTTGACATACCCCAAACGATGTTGTATTATTAGCACTTAGCAAAGCAGCATCCAACATCACCGAAACATGACTGTATCAGGTACTATGATGACCTCAAGTTAAATGACCAATTTCACTACCGAACGTTAGAGATTAACCACCGACACTCGAATAGTTATCCATGTGGATTCTATCAAGCATGTCTCTAATGTTTTGTTCTATAACAAAACATTCACGTATTAATTTAAGTGTCACTTGACTTTAACTTGAGAGATCAGTTATTTAATTCATAATTAAGAAATGTCATACGTGATAGTCTATTCATAATAACGATATTCGTATCTCTTTATTACTTACGACCACAGATGATTTAAGATTCAGTCATGTATAATTTGTATATGGCAATCACAACTTATTGTGATCAACAAATTACTAAGACTTAATCTACAGATTCTATTAATTAATTTATTAGAATATTTATTCAATTAAATAATAGATCTATCAAAAATGAAATACATCGATTATATATTAAAAATATTTTTTTTAGTTAAAGGAGACCGGTACCTTAGAGATTTTATTAATATGCACTCACTTGTGGTGGAGAAATACCGTAATTACATGAAAATAATGAGAGCAGTAAATGAGGAAATACTACTTCCCTTACAATGAAAGTAAATGATGAAGAAGAAAACAGTAAACAATGAAGTATTACTTCCTTTACAATAAGAACTAATGTAAGTAATAATAATAATAATAATAATAATAATAATAATAATAATAATAATAATAATAATAATAAAAGTATTGAAAGTTAAAATAAAATTCAAACTTTGATACTGGGCAATCCATGTCTGTCAACCTGTACTAGTGCCCTAATATCGTGGTGGTCAAGTGGTACATATATCTGATATCGTTATGATCCCAACCCTTAGCAGCAAGAGCATCTGCAACCTGGTTTCCTTCTTTGTAAATGTGGGAAACTGTATCTCTCTCGAAGGATATGATGTTTGTGATACGTCTAAGTATGCCTTGAATAGCCCATGGTCCTCCTCTTCTAGTGATGTAGTGAATAGCTACTGTAGAATCTGACTCAACCTAAATCGCTGAATAACCCAGTCCTTGAGCTAGTAAAATCCCATCAAGAATAGTCCGGAGCTTTGTCTCTGATATGATGCATGGTCCATACGAAGTTGAGAAAGTCTTGATATAGTGTCATGTATGATCTCTGATGATGCCTTCCCCATTTGCATAACCATTCTTGATGCATCCATCAGTATTGATCTTGACAGATCCGATTGATGGATGCCCACCAAACCAGAATAGGGGGAGATGGGGAAGGGGGGTCCATAAAAATAACAAATATGGGTATAAGTGTCAAATCCCCTCGCCAATGCACCGCTTGAAACAAGCCTCCCATATGAAGAAAAGAGATTATGCGATAGACCCTCCAAATGATACGTCTGGTTGCCATGCGAATCCTCCTATGCTTAACATCATTTCTCGTGGTCCATAGATACCAAAATATTAGTAGATGAATGATAATACGAATGTATCCACAATGAACATACTGTCCAGAATACCTCCATCTCTGAAATCTCAGTCTGATATTGGAGATGATAATGCTAGTGAAAATATGCCGATAGTCTCATTTTCAAAACAACACTGGCAGCGAGAAACCAACTAGCATCCAATACTCTCTTGAATAATTACATCTATTGAAATGAGGCCTTGCCATAGTCTCCAGTAGAAAAATGAGACAGTGACAGGCAAAATGGAGCTCCATAGTTACCGGTACGAATCTTGATACTGGCATCCCAAACTTACGAGCTGCCATGTTGATTTGCTATTGAAGCTACCATTCGCTGTATTCCACCAAAAAATTAGATCCGGGTCATCTGTACATAGAGGTATAACTACCATCTGCTCCGCCATAAGATGAGGGAGAACTTGTAATAAACATCCTATATCCCACCAATATCATCATAGAAATCCTGCACCCTCGCAGATGTGTGCTGTCTATGTAGGAATATGGACATAGTTAATTGGACGTAGGGCATGACATTAACACTATGGACATAGTTATAGTAAACATGCTATGTTGGTTTTAATTGTAATAGTATTTCTTTTTTATAGAAAAGTAGATGGTGAATGATTGTGCATTGCTGGAGATCCTGTTGGCGGATACACAACATTAACAGTACCTGCATTCAGGGAAACATTCAAAGCTGGAGCTTTCTATATGGTGTGAGTGCTTGATCAATCACTTATAAATATTGTGTTAAGAGTTGAATATATGTTGCTAGCACTATAATTACTTTCTTTATATTGCTACTCTCTGCCTTGTTCACATTGATATGGCCGTAACACTCGCCTTTATGTTGGTCACTTGTCTAGGACTCAATTTCATAAACTGTTATCACATTTTCAGTAGATATGAAAAGTAATTTAATCACTCTAGCAATGTCACTTTCCTTGCTGTAGCTAAAAATTTGTGATTGTTTTACAATCTCTTGTATCACATAGCAATATTGTTACTTCAGAGGTCTTGGTGGGAGGTTTTGATATGGGATCTTGAAGTTGCCCTTGCTCCCCTTTCCAAGTCATATCATGCAACTCAAAATGACTGTTCAAACAATGTGAACATTTTGGAATCTTCTTTACCCTTACCCAATACTGGTCTTTAGCCTATCAACTGAAGCAATAACAGTTAACAAAATTCTACCCAGCCATAAGGATATGTTCCCACTTGCATAAGCTTATGTTTTAATTCTATATCATAGTAGAATAAGTTACGCAGCCTGCTCTTTTTGCATAATATTTACGTTCCACTTATTCTTTGGCAATATGAAAGTGAAATAGATGTTATTATTCTATCAACTTTGTGCTTAAGTAGACATTAAATTGTACAAATGTAAATTGATATTGTTTTTGGTGATATCGATGGTCTTAACTAATAGTTTTTTATTAGTAGTAAAGAGTCTATTGATCTTCTTTTGTTCTTCAGCCGCTAGTTGGATTGCTAGGGACACAAACACTAACTTCTATTTCTTCTGCTATACCTCTATTGCAAGAAGCCTCTACACCTATTAAGAAATTAAAGGATAGATTCAATATGAAAACATATTGAAGGAACTTGAGAAGAAGAACACTTCATTAATCATCAAACTCAAGTAATATTGTGAATACATTGCTCTATTTATAGAGTAAAATTCTAACAAACTAACTACATAACAAACAAGAGAAGAATCTAGAAGAATGATCTAATAACAAATAGAAGGATCTAATATTGGAATATTCCAACACTCCCCCCTCAAGTTGGAATATCATGAATTGTAGAGAGAAGAGCAGAGATGCAAGAAAAGCCATGGTCGACAATAATGTCCAGCAGAGAAGCAATTTAGAGAAAAACAGCAATATAATTCAACCGGAATAAGTGAGCATCCATGGATCTAAAGCCGGGCATTTATTGAAGACAAGCACCATCAATATTGATGAGTAAAAGGAAAACTGAAAATACTAAACAAACTCCAGCAAGGAAATGTATCCCTCTACGCTCTTTGATTATTTTTTTTTTTTTTTCGCATAATCCACAGAAGGACCTCTAGAATTAATAATCAATCTGTAGCATCTACTAACGGACAAAGCAATTCCACAGTTCATTCAATGTGCCACTAGAATATTATTATTGGCACTATTTTCACTCCCACTAAACAAATCCATACTCTGGCCGGGTGAATTCGAGACCGTTCTTGAGAAGTACGGGGTAGAGACGAAAACAGCTCTAGCAGCCTGGATAAACTTTTCAAGGATCTCTCTGCTATGAAATATTTGCAGAAAATATGCAATAACACCAATTGCACGACAATCAGCTGATCTAACTGAAGGACCGTCGCTTAGAACAGCATCAATGGAAGATTTGATAGAAAAATCCCATTTGTCTTTTGGCAGAGAAAAGAAGACTGAAGAAGTCATTCCTGCGAAACAGGTAATTGATGCAGCCCTTACCATGGCTGATGAATGCTGAATGATTATAGGCATGTGCTTGACTATTGCTTCAGACCACCGCTCGCTGGCCAAAACGTACATTTTTTATTCATCCTCAGTTGAAGCAGAGCTCTCTAATCCATAAACTGGAGCAGACGAGATTGCCTTTATTTTGACATAATCAGATGTAAATGGACTATCAAGCAACTTATCACTTGAAAGATCCTCAGTTCCTTTAAAGCCAGAAATAGCACGAAGACATTCATCCAAAAAATGTAGTGCTTCTAAGCTTACTGAAGGTCTTGTTAACTGTTTGGAATAATGAAATAAGGTATATAAAACTCCAAATTTCCGTTGACCATCAAGAAATCCTATTGAAGCTTCCACTAGAAATAAGTTGTTGACATGTACAGAGGATGGTGAAACAGAAAGAGCTACTGTGAAGCAATTAATTGTAGCTGCTAGCTAGCTATTACGATCACTTCACAAGGAAAACCCCTCATCAATTCTTGCTTGCTCTGATACCATATGAAGAAATTAAAGGATATATTCAATATAAAAACATATTGAAGGAACTTGAGAAGAATAACACTTTATTAATCATCAGACTCAAGTAATATTGTGAATACAATGCTCTATTTATAGAGTAAAAAAAACATATTGAAGGAACTTGAGAAGAAGAACACTTTATTAATCATCAAGCTCAAGCTAATATTGTGAATACATTGCTCTATTTATAGAGTAAATTTCTAACAAACTATCTACATAACAAACAAGAGAAGAATCTAGAAGGAGGATCTAATAACAAATAGGAGAAGGATCTAGAAGAATGATCTAATATTGGAATATTCCAATAATACCTTCTCGGTTTCTCCACATTTTCAAAGTGCCTCTGGTAAACAAGGGGTACCCTGCATATTCTTCTAGGAAGGGTATTGTCTTAAAAGGTGGTTGGTATCTTCTGTGGGTTCAGTGATCCACAGGACGCTCATGATGCAAGATATAGTGAGTATGGAAGAGCAGTCTATTAACTCTTTTTTTTTAGTCTATACATTATTTGTGCTCAAAGTCTAGGACACATTTGCAACTAAAGATATAGGAAACCTCATATTAGGATTCATGGCACATTTGGGGATAAATATAGGACATTTAAAGTTATATAATGACTATTAGTAATTCTTTTATATATAATGACAATTAAATTATTGTAGTTACTATTGTATGTTCATTGTTAATTTATTTATTGCCAATCATACTACATGTGTATCATCGTTTACATCATTTTTTACACTTTGCCAGTTTAAATTAACATACCACTGGACAATTTAAATTTTTGACAATTTTTTCATCCAATCAACACTTGCCAACACTATAATGTTAACCATAGATACAAGTGGCATTTTCCATATATTTTTGTTAATTTCTCTTGTGCATTTTTTATTATATTAATTCTTTGAAAAACTATTAATGAGTTATAGCAACCAAATATTGGTTGCTAATGGTGTGTATCTTCACTAACCAAATATTGGTTGTTGAGATATGGTGATTTTTTTTTAACTAATTCTTTTATTGGCCAACATTTGGTCGCAGGATACAAGCAAACCAACTTTTTACCCCCAAACCAAGACCATTACCGACCATTGTTTGGTAATTGAATATATAACATTCAGCGACCACTTGTGGTCGCAAAAGGATGTAAATTAACAAATTTTTTAACCCTAAACCAAGCCCTTTACTGACCATTGTTTGGTCGATGAGTGTTTACAATTTAGCTTCATCGACCACTTGTTTTTGGTCATAAAGACTTTCACCGATGGAAAAATAGCGACCACAGTTTTTTGGTCGCTATAAATCTCTAGCGACAAAAATATTGCCTTTACATACCAATTTTATTGGTTGCTGGAGAGCATATTTTTTATACAGCTATATATATTTTATTGACATCACTTATTGTATGTGTTAAATAAACATATTCTATCAATTAATAATATTCAAGATCTGCCTTAACTTATTATTGTTGATCCTTGCTTGAACCAGGTGTCGATACTTGTAATGTAGGCACTGATACCAAGTGTTGTTACTTTTAAGGTAGGATTGATACTGAAATTGTAGCGAGATAAACAGACCTACCCAGCCTCCTTGACGTGTAGAGTGTTTCGGCCTGCAAAATGAGGTCGGAGCTTTCTCCCCCGTTGTACCTCCAGCGTAAGAATCAGTAGATGGTTTAGGAAAGTAGGAGATAGTATAATTGGAATTCAGACTATTCGGGTTTCAAAAGAGCCATACCTTTCTCACCTTAGGGATATTTATAGGCACCTTATGTAACGTACTCGTTAAACAGTTAATAGTGCCACGTGTCCAACGTAAATCTTCACACTTCTCTCACGTTCTGATGGGATGATCCCCACTCTTCAACCGGTTGGTTGTACATACGTTTGCCATTGAGCGGTTTTTGTCTAGCTCATTTCCATTTGTATGATTAAGTGTAACGTTGGCCTCATAGTGGTAGACAGCCTATGTAAACGTAGAGGGCCTCATGGTGGTAGGTGGTCTCATGGTGGTAGGCGGTCTTATAGTGGTAGACGACTTATGTGAACGTAGAGGGTCTCATGGTGGTAGGCGGCCTCATGGGGGTCGACAGCCTATCATGTCGTGCTATACGTGGAGTGGATATCAAGTAGTTCTCATGTCATTGACCATCGTGGATAATTATTAATGCCATCATGTATCACTAGCCCCTCTATCCCTTGTCGATGTTTATCGACAAGGGGTAGTCTCTTCACTTCTTCCGTGTTGGTTAAAGTTTTTTTTTTATTATATATAAAACCATCATTACCTCTTCATCCAGGGAAAGTGCGAGTGAGAGGGCGAGTCAATCGACCGACCCATCCTTAGATGGGCCGATCGAAGTTTCCCAACCGACCAGCATTACTGGTCGACATCGATTCGTTCGTCAACCAGCCTGGCCGTCCTTCGACCAGCCCCATCAGGTCTTCTCTTCGCGTCGGTGGACTCCTCCATGAGCCTGATATTTCGACACATTTGGCTGAACCTCACACTTTTCAACCGAGTCTCCAAAAAAAACCATATTGGCTCAACCAAATCCTTGAACTAAAATCTTGAAATCGAATGGGATCCGACGAGTGAGTTAGTAGTTCAAGATTCTAAAGCGCTTTGGTCTTTATAATTCCCCATCTAAATTGGAAAAATCACTTAGAAAATATGAGCGTGTGGACCACTATGTTAATAGAGCCCCTAGGCCCCAAGATTCTTTTTTCCTTTATATCTATCTTGTAGTATTGGTGTCGCTTGCTGATGTGTGAGAGTTTATTTGCATCCTTGCACGACTCTTCCTATTTGACCGTAATAGCTAGCAGGCATGACAGCTAGCGGCTGGATGCCTGGTTACACAGCGTAAGTCGAATGCCACGTGGTTGACCTGCGTGCATTGGCGCCAAGCCCGGTTGTAATTTTACCTTTTCGCATTTCATTTGCCTATCTTTGATTGGTTTTATTGGTATTGTTATCCTTTGTCGAATAATAGACGCAATGTCTAATGGTTTGGGGCTTCAACCAATTCATTGCTTTGAAGGCTCCATACCTCGACTGTAGAACTCAGTCGCGCTTGTCACAAATCTATCAGTTTCTTTGCTTTCTGCCTAATCCTTTGGACTATGTCGAATGCGGAGCATGATTTCGGGCCTTAACTAAGTTTTGGTTTTTGAGGTTATTTCTAGACTTTAGAGTGATTTCGAGCTAACTAATCATTTTTTATCTTTGTTGCTCACCCTGTATGTCAAACGATTTTGGGTTGTTGAATGCAGGGTCCGGTGATTTTGAGTTTTAACTATTTTTGGTTTTGAAAACTCACCACCAGCCCTTAGAACGATTTTGAGCTAACCAATTTCTTGACTTTGTTGCTCACCACCGTGTTAAGCGATCTTCGAGGCAATATGGTATAGGGTCTGGTGATAATCATCAGCCCTTAAAGCGATTTTGAGCTAATCAATTTCTTGGCTTTGTTGTTCACCGCTATGTGTTGAGAAATCTTCGAGGTAGTAGGATATAGGGTCTGGTGATAATCACCAGTGCTTAGAGCAATTTTGAGCTGACTAATTTCCTGGCTTTGTTGCTCACCGCTTCGAGTTAGTAGAGTATATGGTCTGGTGATATCATCAGCCTTTAGAGCGATTTTGAACTAACCAATTTCTTAGTTTTATTGCTCACCGCTATATGTTGAGCAATCTTCGAGGCAGTAGGATATAGGGTCTGGTGATAATCACCAGCCCTTAGAACAATTTTGAGCTAATCAATTTCTTGGCGTTGTTGCTCACCGCTATATATTGAGCGATCTTCGAAGCAGTATGGGAGATTTGTAGTCTTCGCTTCAACCAATCAGAAATCAAGATCTCGCAACAATATTTAACTTGCCAAGATTTTGGGACTCAGAAGACGCATCGAGATGTCCCAGCATGGCTGGCCCTTCCTTAGGCCCCCATCATCTACAGTCATCAGCCTTCTCATTAAACAATTTCAATATAGTGTGCTTGTAGCAGGCTTTAGATCACGAATTCTATTCGAACATCCTAGCTACTATATCTTCAAGCGATCATTACGTTAGAAAATGCATTATGCGACTCGAAATCACTACACGTTGGTCTACTGATAATACTTCTTGAGATGCTCGGTGTTCCATGACCTGCCTAGTGATTTTCCTTTCAAGTCCTTTGGGCTATAAGCTTCATTTTCAAGGCTTTAAATCACCTCATACGGTCCTCCCAATATTGGTGTAGAGTCACTTTTGACATCACTTGTGCACTCTACACATCGGTCCTTCAAATCACCTCATACGGTCCTTCCAATGTGTAGAGTGTTTCGGTTGCTCCGATTAGTGAATGCTACCTGAAAATGATGTCGGGACTTTCTCCCCCGTTCTACCTCCGGCGTGAGAATCAGTAGATAGTTTAAGAAAGTGGAAAGATAGTATAATTGGAATTCAGACGGTTCGGGTTTCAAGAGAGCCATAGCTTTCTCACCTTAGGGATATTTATAGGCACCTGATACAACATACTCGTTCAACAGTTAATGGTGCCACATGTCCC